CCCTTGCCCGGCGAGGCTGGAGCTCGGGGTCCAGGGGTCAGTGGGGTGGCTGTGCTGTTCCCAGTGGCGCCAGGAGAGGTCGGCGTGGCTCGGAGCGTAGCTGGACGTGCCCTGGAGGGATGTTCGCCGTGGTGCTGCCCCTTCTATGTGCAGACAGAGAACAGTTTAGAATCAAGCGCCTAGCAGTTTGAGCACTTTGGGGGACAGTGGGGGGAAGCCAGGTGCCCAGCATGGATGCCTCGGTGGCTCCCTGGGCCCATGCGAAGTTGAGTTCATGTGCCGACTTCCGATCCTGGCTGGCTCATTGCCAGATGTGTCCGTCAGGGTTCTCCAGAGCCGCAGAACTAACAGGATGTGTGCACATAAGCCCCGAATCTGAGGATGGGCTCTTGGGCTAGCGACCAGGAAGAGCTGGTGTTGCAGCTCAGGCCTTGCGGCTGCCCGCTGCAGAATTCCCTCCTGGCAGGGGCGGCTGGTCTCCGTTCTCCGAGGGCCATCAACTGCTTGGGCGAGGCCCACCCACGCTGCGAAGGGCAATCTGCTCCACTGACTTAAAGTCATCAGAAATCAATCTCATCCAAAGGCACCTTTACAGACACATCCAGAGTCATGTTCGACCACACGTCTGGGCACCGTGGCCCAGCCGCGCTGATGTCTAACATTAACTGTCACCCCAGACCATCGGGAGCTGGTTCCTGAGGTCCTTCTTCCGCCACTTCTGCCCATCTCTATAATGTTCTCTGCTCTGGCCTTCAGAACGTGTATGAGTGGTCATCATAGCCACAGTCGTAATAAATAACTTAGTGAGTGCTTACCGTGCAGCCCCACTAACTACCTGTCGAGGTCAGTACTACTCCTATCCCCATTTTACAGGTGAGAAAACTGCGGATGCATGCCACACGCTCACGCGTGTCCCGTCGCTCTGCTTCCTGCAGGGCTGGGCCCCTCTCCGTAACACCCTGCTCCCCTTCCCCTGCACCTGCGTCAGCTCCGCACCACGGAGAAACAGCTCCCACATGCAGCCTCCCCCACGAGGCCTTCCCCTAACCCCGTGTGCAGGTTCAGGTCCCTCCCCTGCGGCCCCTGAGCCCCACGTGCTCACCGCCCTCTCCTGGGGAGCAGCGACCCGTTCACTCACTCAGCCAGCTTCTGGCGTCAGCGAGACGCCTGCCCCCTGCCAGGTGCTGTCCTGTCACCGCTGGCAGGGCAGTGAAGAACTCCGAGAAAAGCACCCAGTATCATGGGGTTTACAGCCCAGCGGGGGACACGGACAGTGGGGTAACGAATGAGCCAAGACGCGTGTGCCGTGGCAGGAGCTGCTCAGGGTGACGGAGGAACGGGGGGCAGGGGGCGGAGGAGGGGTTGGCGCTTTCACACGGGGGGCTCAGCGGTGCTCCCCGTAAGCGGTCTGTGAGCGGAGCCTAAGCAGGTGGGGGCCCAAGGCCAGGGGCACACGGGGAGAGTGGGACAGTCACGGGAGTGGCGCAGAGGCCAGGGCGGGGCGGGGAGTGAGTGGGCAGGGAGGAGAGTAACAGGTGGGAATGGACCGGAGCTGGGGCCCGGCCAGGGAGGGCCGGTGACCCACAGAGAGGGTTTTCGCCTCCGAGTGTCATCTGTTTATCCCACTAAACCGTGAGTTCAGAGGGGCCTGTCACACCCTCACCATGGCTGGCATGGTTCCCGGCCCCTGCTGTCATTCAAGAAATGCTTGCTCATCCAAGTGAGTGTTTTTCTGAGGCCAACTGTTTTATCTTAATTAGATTTTTTCCTTCAAGATCGTTGGTGTACAAGCTGATATTGGCTGTTTCAGGTGCGCTACAGTGTAGTGATTCGACACTTTTCTACCTGCCAGTGTCATCGCCCTGATAATTGTAGTAATGACCCATCACCGCGCTAACTTATCCCAGTGTTATTGACGGCATGCCCCTCCCTCTTCCACCCACCCCACCCCTGCCCTCGGGTGACCACCCTTTGGGTCTCTGTTTCCGTGAAGCTGGCTTTTGCCCACCCCAATGAGACGCCGTGGGTCAGAGCCCACACGGGCTTTCTGTGCTGTGAAGAATCACCCTGCACTTTGCGTATCAGATGTGCTCAGAAGCAAGAAGCACAAAACCTACCTTACCGGGGCTTAAACAAAGAGGGGGTTCCTTTTCTCACCTAAAAAGAAGTGGGAAGGTAGGTGGCTCCATGGTAACAGGTTCTGCATCTCTGAGATGCTCTTGGCCTCATGGTCATAAGGGGCTGCTGCAGCGCCAGACATCACGTGCGTGTTCAAGGAAGGAAAGACAAGTGGTAGAGGATAGAGACGTGGACCATTTGTAGCTGTCCCCTCCTGTCCAGAAAGCACGACCTTTCCTAGAAGCCTCTGGCAGACTGGCATAAGCACGGTCGCCTGTGGCTGCAGGTAGTTCCTGGATTGTGTTGCCTCCTTGAGGAGAAGTGTCGTCCTGCTTCAGAGGGAGCAGGGCGCGTGTGCTCCGGCCTTTCACAGGCACTGTCTGCAGAGACAGCGCTCCTGTCAGCTGAGGGTGTTGGAACACGGGACCCAGCGTGACCCCTCTCCTTAGTGACTGTGTTTAATCCTCACCCCGCTCCCCCAAATCGGTTGTTTCCCAGAATTTTACCCCTGCGAACAAGCTAGTGCCCTTGGACATCACACTCCAGCTGTTTATTCATTCAACAGTGTTAGTGAGGTGCGCTCCAGCCAGGGCTGGGGTGAGTCGGCTGAGTCAGGTAAGGGGGTGTGGCGCAGGCTGGGAGGGCCCTGGAGGTGCGCTGCTGGCCTTGCACCCACCTTGGTCTGGGGCCCAGCTCAACTCTGGCCTCTCTGATGCCGGGGTCCTCAGAGCCGGTGTGCCTGAGCTGTACAGTAGGGGTTCGAACCCCGACCACTGAGGTCACTGAGGCTGCAGCCAGCCAGAGGCTGTCCTGAAGGTTCTAGCAAAGAGATCCTCAACTGGCCTGCCCATCAGACCCTGCAGGGAGCTTTGGAAAATGCAGAATCCCGGCTCCTCCCGGAGCCCTGGGTGTGATGGACATCACGAACACTCGGGCTGAGCACGAAGTCCAGCCGGAGACCCCCAGGTGCCGGGGATAAGGGTTCTTGGCGCCCTTAACTCCCTGTGGATGCAAGGCCCAGCCCCATCTCTGACGTGTGGTGTGCATGCCACAGGCTGTTCTTGGGGCAGATTGCCCGAAATCCACACTAGCTAGCATTTATTCGTTTGTCCCCATAAGTTGTAATTAATAATGATACACCAGTTCCTAAGTGAATTAGACTAATGAGGAATGTTAATTGAGTGCTTGCTTTTAGCAGCTCGGGTGGCTTTGGCCAAATTACCCCTTCTCCGCCTCATTAGCTGTGCTTTCTGGTGGAAAGGCTCTGGGCCGCCCGGCTGAGGCGTGGGGGTGCCCCTGGGGGCCCAGCTCTCCTGTGGTAACGTGGAGCGTCTCCCGGGCCTGCGAGCGAGCAGTGCTGGCGACCCCCTAGAAGAACCACCGTCCTCTCGAGCCCACAAGACTGAAATGCTGCACGGTCCGCAGATCCCTCCATCACGGGGTTGCCGTGGGATCGATCTGGGAGGAAGAGAAGCCCCTCCTCCCGCACAGTGAACCCGAGGCAGGGAGCCCGCCCCCCCACCGCTGCTGGAGGCCCTGCAGACCTGGGGGACCCGTATAAATGACACTCCAGTTCTCCAGCTGCTGGCTTCTCTCACTTGACTTGTGAATCCAGACTGCTGAGCTCTGTCCCACGTCCTGCACCCACTGCCCTTTCTAGGCTTGGACGGAAGTCAGACTGTGAAGCTCTCTTCAGATATCATTAGTACTACTTCGAAAGCTGGAGTTCTTACTCAGGTTTGAAGGGACTCTTCCAGTTCCTTCCCATCTCTGAGCTGCGGTGGGGCCACCCTCCTCCGGCCCCTCCCCGGGAGGTGAGAGCCACCCAGGCCTCATCATCACCTACAAGAATCAGGGACTCGGAGCCAGGGCATCTTGCAGGCGCGGGAGGAAGCGTCGCTGGTGGGAAGTGGGGGCTGGGGAGGCAGAGCTGGGGTTTGAGCCCTGAGACGAGAGGGAGGCACGAATTCCTCCAGAGGGACGCCTCTGGCCATGCGTCCTCCTGCCTGGCCCCCGGCTGCCCCCAGTGAGGGAGCCACTCAAAAGTCAGACCGTGCTGGGCTTGAGTCTCTGCCCCGCTCCTCAACAGCTTGTGGAACTCTGGGCAAGTTCATGGGCCCCCTTGGGGCTGCCGCCTCCTCGTCCTGGAGGGAAGAGGATGCTTTATTCCTAAGGATCTCTCTCGGGGATTGAGTGAGCGGAGGAAGGAGACCGTGTGCTCAGCGTCTGGCTTGAGGAAAGCACTCAGTCCACAGAGTCACCGTCACCGCTGTCACCGCCCTCTGACTTCTCCTTGGCTCCCATCTTGCCGCATTTGGGCTTTCGCAGGAGCGGCTCCAGGGCAAGGACTGGAGTGCGGGGCGCAGGAGGGGTGGGCACATGGAGATAGGTGTGCAGTGGGTCAGGTGTGCAGACGAGCCGGAAGGCTGCCTGTGCAGGGGGTGCCACCAAGCCAGTTACCCCGTGGGCACACTCCGACTCTGGGGGCCCCGGACTTACCCCGCTGGACGGCCAAGGGGCCTGGGGTGTAGTGGCCGGACTCCCAGCACGGGTCAGGTTTTGCTCTTTCGGCCTCAATTAACCCTCCGGCCCTGCCGGCCTGTTTCACGGATGGTGGAGTGGGCTCCCTGGCCTGGGGGCAGGGCTGGCTCCTTCTCCAGCACCCGTACTGGCCGAGATCAGGGGTAAATATCTGATAAGCAGGCAAATCTGACGCCACCTCTCCACGTCACAGGTGCGGGGAGCTGGGGGCGTGGCCAGAGCTGCTCCGCCGGCAGGTTTCAGAACAGAGACTTGAACCCCGACGCAGAGATGCAGGGAGGGCTGATCTGTTTTTCTTTTCTAACGTTGGCCTGAACATTCTCCCCGTTGCTGTCACTCAGGTATGCATCGTGCAGAAGCGAGACACGAAGAAGATGTACGCGATGAAGTACATGAACAAGCAGAAATGCATCGAGAGGGATGAGGTGCGCAACGTGTTCCGGGAACTGCAGATCATGCAGGGGCTGGAGCACCCCTTCCTGGTCAACCTGTGGTGAGTGCCCCGCCCCGGCAGCCTGCGAAACCCCGCCCCCAGTCCGTGAACCCCGCCCCCAGCCTGCGAAACCCCGCCCCCAGCCTGCGAAGCCCCGCCCCGGACGACCCCCACGGCTGCGCAGCTCTGTGGGGAGGAGACCTCTGGGCTGCGAAGAGACAGGAGCGGGCTTTTCCGGTTTCAAACATTCTTGTGGATACTTTGCAGAGTATGTTTTCTGATGACTAGTTTTTAAACTACATTTTCGGATGAAATCTTTAAACATGGGCTCCATTTAAATTGTAATTCCGTTTTCTGACCCTGACGGGTTAGAGTTGAAGGTGAGTCTCGAGGAGGATTTGTCCGTCCAAGAACACGTGGAGTGCGGCAGGACAATGCCAGGTGCGGGCTTCTGTGCGGGGCTTGTTAGAGAATCACGCCCGTCGTGCCGATGGTAAGGAGGACTCGGGGTGGCTGCCCAGTGTGGGCACCCTAAACTCCCAGGGCTGAATCCAGCCCACACGGCCTGCGGGACCCATGGTTGGAACCTTCTCTCCATCCCATCCCTAGTTACCATCTCTGCTTTAAATCTGCACCCCAGAAACGCCACGCTGCGGGTGGTTCTCGGCCCCGGGGCCTTTGCACGGGACAGAGGTCCCGCGGTCGGGAGTTCCTCTTCCCGGAACTCCCGCCTGCCCCGGCTCCCCAGCCTCCACTAACCAAACCCCGCGTGTGCCTTCCGTGCAGCTTACAGGGGACGCAGGCCAGGAGCCTTCCAGAACCAGGGCTGCTCCTTGGATCTTTGTTTCTGGGAGTCTAACGCCGCCTCAGACGCGCTGGAGGCTCTGACGGAGTGTCTCCTGAGCTGGGTTTTGTTGCAGGGACAGGTCAGACTATTCTAGGAAACAAGTTCTGTTTCCTTCTGGCCTCCGTGGACTGGTCACTGATTGATCTTAATCAGCATCTGAGGGGACCCGATGGGAAAGTCTAGTCTGGCCCGTTTTCCTGATGTCACCGGTTGTTGCGACTGCTCTCCGTAGAAGCATCCTGAACAGCGGGTGAGGACGAGGAGGGACACGGGTCGTCCCGCCTGGGGAGACCCACGGGTGCCTGGCAGATGCCACAGCCTCCGGCGTTCCCATGGGGAAACCCATCCGTGTGTTAGTAGAGTCTGGGGAGGAAGGGCAAGTTCATCATGTCCCTGGCAGAAACCCAAGCACTGCGGCTGTTTGAGGGAAATAAACCCCTTCCTGATTTCACTGCTGTACAGGGGGGCTTTTTAAAGTAACTTCTAACCAGGGAGACAACATCCTTTCATTATAAAATTCAGAAAATGAAACACCTAAGAAGGGGACAGTGACCCAGAACCCTCCCACCCCTGGATTACTGCGGTGTCGACATAAAAACACACGGAACATTTTATACCCTGCTTTTTCAAACTAATGGCTTGGTAGGAGTGTTATCTCATTGTTGCAAACTTTTTTTAAAAGTATATTTCATTGATTCTATTATTATAGTTTTCCCAATTTCCCCCCCCTTTTTCCCCCCTCTGCCCTACACTCCACAAACCCCAGCCTCCCCCCCCGCCCCCCACTTAGTTCATGTCCCTGGGTTGAACATATAAGTTCTTTGACTTCTGTTTCCTATACTATTCTTAACCTCTCCCTTTCTTTTTCATGCCTACCAATTATGCTTCTTATTCCCTGTACCTTTCCCCCACCATTCTCCCCTGCCCGTCCACACTGAAAACCCTCCCTGTGATCTCCATTTCTGTGAGTCTGTTCCTGTTCTACTTGTTTGCTTAGTTTTTTGTGTGTGTTTTTTTTAGGTTCAGTTGTTGATAGTTGTGAGTTTGTTGTCATTTTACTATTCATAATTTTTTATCTTTTTCTATTTCTTAGATAAGTCCTTTTAACATTTCATATAATGCAGGCTTGGCAATGATGAACTCCTTTAACTTGACCTTATCTGGGAAGCACTCCATCTGCCCTTCCGTTCTAAATGATAGCTTTGTTGGATAGAGTAATCTGGGATGTAGGTCCTTGCCTTTCATAACTTTGAATACTTCTTTCCAACCCCTTCTGGCCTGTAAGGTCTCTTTTGACAAATCAGCTGACAGTCCAATGGGAACTCCTTTGTAGGCACCTGTCTCCTTTTCTCTTGCTGCTTTTAAGATTCTCTCTTTATCTTTAATCTCGGGTAACTTGATGGTGTGCCCTGGTGTGTTCTTCTTTGGGTCCAATTTCTTTGGGCCTCTCTGGGCTTCCTGGACTTCCTGGAAGCCTATTTCCTTCACCAGATTGGCGAAGTTCTCCTTCATTATGTTTTCAAATAAGTTTTCATTTTCTTGCTCCTACTCTTCTCCTTCTGGTGCCCCTATGATTCGGATGTTGGGACGTTTAAAGTTACCCCAGAGTTTCCTAAACCTCTTCTCATTTTTTTGAATTCTTGTTTCTTCATTCTGTTCCGGTTGGATGTTTATTTCTTTCTTTTGTTCCGAATCATTGATTTGAGTCCCAGTTCCCTTCCCTTTATTGTTATTTCCCTGTGTATTTTGCTTTATTTCACTTTGGGTTCCTTCATTCTGTGACCACACTCAACCATTTCTGTGAGCATCCTGATCACCAGTGTTTCGAACTCTGCATCTGATAGGTTGGCTGTCTCTTTGTTGCTTAGCTCTTTTTCTAAAGTCTTTTGATCTGTTCTTTCTTTTGGGCCATATTTCTGTGTCTTGGTTCCCCTGTTATGTTTTGAGGGGGCGGGGCCTTATGTGTTCACCCAAGCGGGGCAACCCTCCTTGCTGTGTTGTGGTGCTGTCGGTCTGGTGACTGTTTCTTTAACTCCTTGGTTGTTGGAGTTCCACGCAGTTTAATTTTCTGGCACTTTTGGTTGTTTATTGCTTTTAGAGTGGTTGCCATCTTCCTTTTGGTTGTGCGAGGAAGCGAAGGGTTTCTACCCATACCTCCACCTTGGCTGGAACTCTTGGAACCATTGTTGTAAACTTTTGGTAAATCCTTTTTCATGGCTACGGAACGTTCTACTTGGAGGAGTTCCGTGAGAAAGCGAACTGCAGTCCCGTCACAGAGGTTATGTCGGGCTGTTTCTAACGATCTTGCCAGTGTAAGGAATGCTGAGGTGGAGATCTGTGAGCCTGCACTTTCGGGGGGAGGCCCCTGAGAGTGGGCGAGGGGGCCGGATGCGCGTCTGGGCTGAGACGGGTGCTGAAGGAGGGGACTGTGTCTCAGCGGTCCCTCCGTAGGCAGCGGTGTCGGGTGTTTCCTTCATGGTCTCCAAGACGCCAGCCGATGAATGACAGACGTGCCTTCATGCCGTGAAAGTGCTGGGTGAGTGAGTGAGACCCTCTGCAATGTTGGCCCCAGATGGAGTGAAGTTTCCGTGGCCAGCAAGGAGGGCGGGCACCTGCTGCTTGATTTGGGATACGTGTTTATTTGCATATGTGTTGTAATGGGTGGACGGTAGATGGATGACAGATGGATGATAGGGGACAGTGCCCCTTCCAGGGACGGGTGGCAGTGAGTCCTCGATCCACGGGCTGCAGCGAGTGCTCCGCACAGGGCGTGTTATCAGGATCGTGCAGGTGCAGGGGACAAAAACTTCAACGTGCTTCAGCACAGAGGGGAGTGTCCGGGCTTCGTGACTAGAGAGGGAGTTCCGGCCGACTTGGTCTCTGGGCCCAGCTGTCGTCCGTGAGTCTGTTTCAGGGCCGAGCCGCGTGCTGACCGCTGGCCGCCCCAGCGTCTCCTCGGGGTCGGGCTGCCCCAGCAGAGGCCGAAGGGGTCGGACTTGGCTCGGGTCACGTGCCCACCCAGGGGCAGTGGGGGAAGGGCGGAAGGTTGGTCCCACCTGAGTCCCAGGGACAGAGAACGAGGGAGGGGAACTCCAGAGGGAGACTGGGAGTGTTTCTAGAAACGGGCGGAGGCCTCGCTGGCCACGGGATCCGCACCTGCCCCCCATGTGCGCCGTCCTGCTCTGCAGGCTTCCTGGCCGCCCTGCGGGGTGGGGGCCCCGGGCTCCCTCGCTCAGGGGCAAAGCAGGGCCCGGAGCAGCTGCATGGCCTGCCTGAGCCAGCTGTGCTGTGACCACACTCAGACCGCCCCTGGGGCCCAAGACCTCCGGTGCTTGTAGGGAAGTGACCCCTGACACTTGTTTGTCTTTGATCGGCGTCACCTTGAACTTCTCAGTCCCCTAACAGCCTCTTTGCTTTCCTGTTACCATCCTACTGTGATCGTCCCCATTTTACAGATGGGGCAACCGAGTCACACCGCTAGTCAGTGGAGGAGATGGAACTGGAACCCAGGCTGTGTGGCTTCATGGCCTGCCCCCACCCCTGCATGGAGCCCTTCAGGCTGGGCTCCTGTTGGCTGCCTCTCTCCCGCCCCCCGCCCCGCAGGATGGGAGCACAGTGAGAAATTGCTTGTCGGGCTCTAAGGACACCACCGCCTTGTATTAATCGCCTGCCAGCTCCGCATGTCCTTGCGTGGCGGGTGATGGACCGCAGCCTTGGGAACGCTGGCTCAGCACCTTCTCGCTGCCGTTTTTTTTGCTGACGGGCTCCGTGGGGGGCCAGGTGGGGGCCGGGCGAAGGCCGGGCACGGGTTGGTTTCCTGACCACTTTGTCTCTAAAGAGGGAGTGATGGCCGCCCCCAAGCCTGGGGTGGTCCAAGTTGGCTTGTCGAGAGCCGTATTTTCACCTGTTCCGGAGCAAAGCTTCTTTGCACTCTTGGGCCTGTGACAGGGAGGAAGGGAGGGAAAGACTCCGGCCTGTGCGGGGAGCGCGTGCGTGAGCGCCCTAGAGGGGGGCGGCGAGGGGGCCTCGCAGCACTCCGGCTCTGAGGGCGGCCCCCACTCCTCCAGTCCGGCTCTGCGTCCTGCGGGCGAGCGAGGCTGCAGGACACTGAACGGGGTCCCTGCACCCCATCCCAGTGTTGAAGCCCTCCCGCCGTGACTGCACCTGAAGGCAGGGTCTCTAGGCAGTTGTGGAGGTTAATGGAGGGGCCGCT